CTTTTTTTTCGGTTGCACTATAAAGACTGACTCCACTTGGGAGCAAGACAGAGGGTGCCCACCTCGTGACTAGAAAGAGTGTAGGAATGTAGGACTAACTTGGTCTAAACAATTAACTACTAGAGCTGGGCGAGGAATCAATTCCGGAACCGATTCCTACGATTAATGCTGCGGAAGAGAAGTTCTGACTCTTTTTTACATATAACCAACGGTTACCAGTTACTGTAACTATTAAAATGTTCTTCTTTTTTGTTTAAAGAATTTATTTATGAAAAATAAAAGTTGATGCTTCGTAGTGTTCCGAAATCAAGGTTATCATAAATCCTGAAGAAGTTCGGAGCCAATCAGGTAACCACCGGGAGAAATCACATCGTTAGAAAGTAAGTAATTGGGTTCGGAGTCGATTCCAACGATTTCTAACTTTCACTAATCGGGAACCTAGCCGCCCAGCCCTATTAACTACTAACCAGTTGTGGTAGCCATCTCCAGTTGGGGCTATAGCAACACTTAGATGTGTAACTTACCAAAAAAACGTTATAAGAGTGAAGAAACATAATTATGTGAGGCAGCGTGGTGGGCACCCCGTATTAGCTTTTTTCTGAATAGTGAAAGGCTAAAAAAAAGGAGGACAATGGGGGAGGGGGGAAGGGGGGATGAGGATGACATATACTTCAACTGTCAGTTTAGCTTAGTTTCTGTAAAAATTCTACAGCTTACGCATAATAATTGCGTTATATAAACCTACGATCAGAGGTATTATATTAGAGGGTAGCTTTTAAAGGAAAGAAGAATTGGAGAGATGAGTACACTATTATTATTTTTTTAATGGGAAAGAAGCAGCAAACGATACCAGACCACCCTTCAACAACCCACTTCAACTCCTAGTTCACAGCCTTTGATCCTAACCTTCTGAAATTAATCAATCCCGCCCCCCGCCACCCAACCCTACCCCACCCGTTCCTAGGGAAAGTGGAAGACGCGGAGACTCTGTTCAAGTACCCGAAGAGCGCCTGGCCTCTAAGCTCTTACACGCCCTACTACGAATACTCGGAGATACCCAACAACTACAACGGTGCTCCTCAGGTAAACAGACAGACTAATGTACCCACTACGGATGGGATAGGCGGATCGGGCCGATTGCACGACTCGGTCGCCTAATACGGGGTGCCAACTACGGCTGGGATCGGCCGATCGGGCCGATCGCCCGACTTGATCGCCTCAAAAACAAACATGTTTGTTTTCAGTTTGTTTTCAGTTTCAGGCGATCGAGTCGGGCGATCGGCCCGATCCAGCCGTTATGGGCACCCTGTAAGGCTGAAACCATAATAGACCCGACCCGTTCTGTTATTTCGACGCCGTTCTTTTGCCGGTGGAACGGATCCGTCAAAGCGGCCATAATAAACCGGCTTTCTGCCGGTTTGACGGCTGCTTACTCCACTAGTTTCATATCAAAATGGGGGGGATACTAAACTTTATAAATTGTTGTTTTTGCTCTGGTGGTTGAGGAAAAAGAAAAGAGGGAGTCCTCGACGTTTTGCGGTTTTTCCTATTAGAACAGAAGGAGACTTTGTATGAAGAATACCATCATCTGATGCCCCAACTGCGGACTCAGCCGTAGAAGTTTCAGCAGTATCTCAGAATTTCACAGTCATTTGATGCTCTTCTTGAAATGTGTGCACCCTATCTTATAGAGAAATCAACGAATTTCTGCCAAGCGATTTCATCTGAAGAACTTTTCTTCGTCCATCTTTATCAGTTGCTAGGGGAAAGAACTGCCAATGTAAATCATGAACAAAGTACTGTCCCTTCCAACTTTCCTTTCCGTCGACCCGGCAGCCGGACGGTTTACACGATAGGCGAAACGACGGTATTAAAATGCCGTCCCGTGCCGGACGGGACCGGCTGTTACTATGGCTGTCCACGTCCGTTGCTGGTGGCGCCAAATAGCAGTTCAGCCTGGTTGATTCTTCTCCCCGTCGCGGCAAAAGAACGGCGTCGTAAAAGACTGAACGGGCCGGGTCTGCAGCTATGGTTTCAGCCTAACAGATATTATCTTGAAGCGTGCCAACAAAGTGACTGAGTTACTTCTCGGATTCGAGCCCTATGGAAATAGATACATCACGCTTACATGAAGTTTTTACTATTTTTAAAGTATGCAGTGTTAAAAGGCATGTTATACTAAAGGAAGATGACATCAAGAGAAAATCAATAAATTTGACCATAGTTTTGATTTTTTGCCAATTTCTCCATTTGGGGATTGCGAGAAGTAACTCGTTTTGTCAGCACGCCTGTATTGAAAGAAACTCGAATTCATGCACGCTTATGTACTAACACAGATACATATACACATTGTCCAAAGATACAAAGACACACACTCGAATTTTTGGCCGTGCATGTACATACACATATACACATACACAAATACATTAAGTATAACACATACAGTACCAATAGATACATTGATACAGACTCATACACATATTACACACATGCACAACAAATACATACAAAAATACTTTCATGCGTACACATATATACATACACAAATACATACAAAAATACTGACATACAAACACATACTTACACAAATACACAAGTACATACAAACATACTGACATACATACACATACTTATACACATATATACAAACATACTTGCATACATACACATACAAATACATATTTACAGTACCGACAGATACGTTGATACAAACTAAAATGCAAGCACTCTCAGGTGTTCTGATGGCGTTTGCTCATTCTTTCCTATCAAACGCCCAATCACCAATCACCATTATATTATCTGCTTCTACTCTTTGCATGTCACGTTTTAGTAACACCTGTAATATCTTACGTTAATTTAAATTAAATGACCTAATTATTTTGCTAGTGCAGTAAAACTCTTACTAGAACAATACTAAAAATGCAACTCTTCAAACTAGAAATGAAATTATGGTCAATTAGGTTTAACGCCCCTATCAACACTATTAGTTTATTTAAGAGGCGAGACCTCCGAGTTTAACGTCCATCTCCGAAAGGACCGAGCAAAATGGGAATTTTGTGTACAGTGCCTTGCTCGAGGACACAAGATCGGACTGAGCTTACAATTACGAGTCCGGTTGCCTAACCACTAGGTTTAAATAAATAACCAACCAGAAAATGTAGAAAAATACAACACATTGGTCAATTAAAACGACATCAGACAAAAGGGAACAATGTGCTTGAAGGAAGGATGCGGGGCTGGAGAGCCAGTGGTGGACAAAGAGTAGTATGCATGGACAACATTAAGACATGGACTCTTCTGGGTTTAGCAGAAGGGAGTGTATACAGACCCGGTAACCGGGAACAAAGTCACAAAGTATACAGACCCGGTAGGGGAACTCTTTTGTGATTTCGGAAAGTTTCAGCGCCCTCTTCGCTCAGGGTAGACCTAGGTTCTTATCTATGGCCTAGGCTAGAT